AGTTCTGTTCTATAGAAGTGCCTCCCGTTCATTAGTGATCTGGAGTCATTTCGAAAGGTATCAACACTTAAAAACTTAAAGAACTAACCAGAATCTAAATAAAACACGTATACATAGGTATAGGATCTTCTGATAGGCAATGGATTGTTACAACGTCTTTGTTCCGACATCTGGCAGGGAGTTTTGTTCATCAGAATTGCCTCCCATCCCACCGTGTTCAACGTCTTATCAAATGAAACTAATTTTTGTTTCTCCCCTAGTTATTTTCTCTTTTTTCTTCTGAAATATAAGTATACGCGCTGCTTTATTTAAGTATGCTTTTTATATCTTGTCTGTATGCTTACTTCTATACTCACACACACTCCAGCTACTATACAGTACACATCAAAACCCCCATTCCCACCCAGGGGTAGAAACACAACAAGCCCCTCCCCCATATCGATCTCATTATATTCATTGATTACGATATTTTTGCATGTATGGTGTTTGGTTACAGGTAGGATCGAAACCCCATCGAACCCCGCTCAAAGACAATACCCCATACTTTTCTCTACAATTCGGCTACAGGAAGGATCAAAATTCCAATCCTACTTTTGAGTAAAATCAACACAAAATATCATGGTGTATATTGCTGACCAACCGTTTTTGTTCTGGTCTCAGCCTAACATACACAATGAACACATCCGAATATTCCAAAATGGACAATACCTCCCCCCCCCCTCCCGCCGCAGGCCACTGCCTATCCCTACTCGGTCCCCTATTATCATCCCAATCCCTATTGATCTCGGCACACACCACCACAGTCCCATTCACCACATCGTAATCCCTCCCCCATATCACATATATTTTCCCTTCCTTTAACTCTGTCGAAATTACAACCTCCACTACTATAATCCTGTATGATATCCAACAACCCCCTACCCCCACCTTAAACTAACATTCATAATATGGAAAGGCAAAGCCTTAAAAGAGCGAAGGCATTCGAGTAAATTCGGCCCCATTGGAATCAGCTTAATTATGACGTTATAAAGCATGCAACGTCAGATTTTACCGCCAATTTTACGACTTTTTTTATGTGTGACATGGGCCAAACTTGCCACGGTATCATTGACCGAAACTGTCCAGACCCAAATTGATATTTCAATAAATTCTTATCGTAAATTCTTATCTTATCGTGTGAATGCCCAGCCAACTAGCCAACTAAACTGCCAAGATCATTAAAGTTGTAAGTATAAGCTAAAAAACAAAAATATCAGGGGTGGCCGAACTTGTCCCGGTCTCCCGTATGTATTTTTTTTTTGTATCGTTGATGATTGGTAAAAATGCATTTGCAATACATTTTTTGCATTAATGACGCCATTTTCAAAGCTAAAGTAGATATTTGTTCTTGTCCGTAACGTATATGATGGGTCGGGTGGCGCAGTGGATAGCGCGCTAGTCTTCACCAAAATGGCCGGATTCGATCCCGGCTACCTGCCCGACCACGCGGGTTTTATCCGGATACTCCGGCTTCCTCCCATATTAAGAATTAAATCTTCTGCGTGCTTCCGTCAGGTCACAAAAAGAATGATTGAAATAAGTTGGAGAAAAACTGTTTTGTAATTGCTATAGAAACAAGAGGCCAATGGGCCTTAACGGTCACCTGAGTCCTACAGTATTTATTATTGTTGTTGAAATATGTACCAATTTGAGTAAAAAAAATGTTAAGTATAACGTTAACCTCAGTTTGTCAGGACCATGAGCTAGACCGATTTTCAGCAAGATCGGCCTATTAAAACTTGTTTTTAAGTTTGAAATAGGTATTTTCAAAATAACGGCCATGGCAGCCAAAGAGTATTTCTGATCGACCCGAAAAATAACAACACTTTGTCAGGACCATGAGACGATCATTCCTACAAAGTTTCAGTTCAATCGGCCTAGCAGAACTTGACTTTCAGGTTAAAAAAGTTTTTCAAAATGGCGGCCGTGGCGGCCATATTGGATTTCTGATCAACCAGAAAAATAACAACACTTTGTCAGGACCATGAGTCGATCATTCCTACAAAGTTTCAGTTCAATAGGCCTAGCAGAACTTGACTTTCAGGTTAAAAAAGTTTTTCAAAATGGCGGCCGTGGCGGCCATATTGGATTTCTGATCAACCAGAAAAATAACAACACTTTGTCAGGACCATGAGTCGATCATTCCTACAAAGTTTCAGTTCAATAGGCCTAGCAGAACTTGACTTTCAGGTTAAAAAAGTTTTTCAAAATGGCGGCCGTGGCGGCCATATTGGATTTCTGATCAACCCGAAAAGTAACAACACTTTGTCAGGACCATGAGTCGATCATTCCTACAAAGTTTCAGTTCAATAGGCCTAGCAGAACTTGACTTTAAGTTTGAAATAGTTTTTTAAACGGCGGCCGTGGCGGCCATATTGGATTTCTGATTAACCCAAAAAATAACAACACTTGGTCAGGGAGATGTCAGTAACCTTCCCATGAAATATTAATGAAATCACTTTGGCATAATTTCAGCTTTAGTTGAAAATGTAAAAGTTAGCGGACGACGGACGATGGACGACGGACGACGGACGACGGACGAAGACGTATAGCTAAAGCTCAGGTGACCTAAAAAGTGCATATGACATATTTGACGATAAGTCTATAAAAATAAATGTATAGAGATGTTAGTTAAACAAATGAAATTAAAAAAAGAAAACATTGTTATACTTTGATGTAACTGAGATTGTCGTTATATCGATATTTAGAAGTCCTGTTCTATCCAGAAACGTGAAGCGTGATAACGCCGGCACAGCGAACAGCGAAGAGTGTTTTTTAAGACTATGCTAATGAATTAAGAGAATTAGAAGGAATTGCAAATATAGAACAAAACCAAAACACATTAGAGAGGGGCTTGGACCACTGGACAGTCTGGATATGGTAGACACGCCCTCTTCCTACTTCCGTACCGTACTAGACATCTTGATGCAATGCGGCTAGCGTCAAATCAAAATTAATTTAACAACTTTTCGGAGCAAGGAGTCGTCTCCCCNGAAGGCAACTCTCCTCACTTCTACAAAACACCGACCTCTGTCACTGAGACGAAACCAGTATGAATTGAGCCATGTAGGCGAAAAAACATACACCCAACAACTAACTATATATTCGAATTCGAACGCGCCCCTAGTTACGTTACATATGTACTTACTATGCACTGCAAGCTTTTTCCAGTAACACTATTTATTTGATCAATCATTACTACAAAGTGAAAGAGACATACCTTATGCAACTTTTTGAAAAAAAAAATTGAAATAAAGAGGGAAAAGTAAAAAAGGTCTGAACGGGTTTCCTCAGATTATTATACTAATAACAATTCTAATTCATTTGAGATGTGGCACGACATTTGATTGGTCAATACAAATAATTTGCAACAGTATATACCGTCCACAAACTTCTCATTTGCATAGGAAGCCCGTGTAGCGAAGGTTAATGATATCAATGACCCCGACTGACCCTGACTCGTCATGAAATGGATTATCCATGACGTCACGAACAACAATAGCGTGACCCCAAAAGGTCAACGTAATTCTGCCTCACCTCCAATACTCCTGACGTCACCAATCCGGGGCAGAGTGACCAAAAATTATTTAATGATTGAATCTTACTTTGGTCGATTTCATTGGCTGAGTAATTGAGTTGGTCTTGAAACAAATTTAATGAACTGCGTATCCATTCTGATCGTTTATATCAGGTTCTGGAGCATGTGCAAGTCTACGTATTGACGAAATGTGAAAAAAAATAGTCCGTCATTGAAGGACCATTATGCAACATGATGGTATACGTTGATAGTTCAATACAGTGAAATTATTTAGAAACAAAACACACAACCATATTTTAATTGTCATAATTATTTTTTGTTGATGAATTCATAAGATATCAAAATTTCTGATGCGTTATCGCGGAAGAATAATGTCTAGACGCGATGCACAGGCTCAGCTGCGAGTATACGGCAGCCATCTTTTTACTAGCTCGAAGTGGAGAGCCGCTATATTTCGAGGTTCTACATCTTCTGGAATGTGAAGCTGCAGTAACTAAATGTCGAGGTAGACAGGAAACCAGACGTGGCTTGAAATGACGAATCATTTGATATGACATTTGACTTTTTTGAATGTATTTCATATAAGACGGGATCACATGGATCCAACACATCCACAGGGGTTCGTTACAAATGTCTAAAATGTACACATTTTATATATACTGACATGGTCACAGCACACATAAACATACATTTATACACACTGATATGGGTCACAGCACATTTCAACATCCATTTATCTGTATATTTATGTGTGATTAACCCATATCAGTTATATCATGATATGTTATATATCAGACATTTGTAACGAACTCCTGTGGATCTGCGTTCAATTTGTACCGGGAGTTGATACTTGCACAAAGCAGAATAGGTAGCTTGAGGGATAAATTATATGTCACTACTGCTAGCAACCGTGAACTGATAATATTTTGCTGATTGATCGTTTTTGGTTGTTTGAACAATTTCTTTTTTGCTTCAATAAAAATGTGAAATCTCATCAAGTGGTATCGGCCCAGATCCGCCCTCCGGCAATAAACGTAACATTCAGATCGGACCGAATCGGCCCTCTGGCAATCCAATGGTTAAAGCATGCCTCAGTTTTAAAAATGATGTTTCAATTTACTGTCAAAACCTTAAAGAAATAGGTATCGAACGGAATTGAGAACGTATACTTATGAAAATAATATCATAGACAGATCCGAACGAGCCTTGTTTTTTCTTATGAATAACTGAATTAGATTAACAAAAATAAATTCGTTGAATATAACTGCGACCATCATAAAAAAGGTGAATGCTTTAAGAAATGTGTTCACATATAAACTCCACTGGGTGTTCTGTATTAATAAGTGTGTTTTTGCATATATAATAATACATCTGAATATGTGAATAAGTGAGGATCAACATAGATACGGCTAAGCATACTTACCGAGAATGTCGTAAACACCTTGACTTCGTGATAATTCTTGTCTTGCAGTATCTATCGGTCGTCGCTCGTATATATTTATATGACTTATATTTCTTGCAGTATATATCGGTCGGTCCTCGTCACTATCCTCCTGCTGCAACAGGCTAAGACAGGGATCAGCTAAGTCATGTACCAGATGCCGATATATCGTTTTTGGTTGTTTGAACGATGTCTGTGTTGCTTCAATAAAAAAGTGAAATATCATCAATTGGTATCTTTGTTAAAGCATGTCAAAAGTTATCTCCCTTCGCAAAATCATACGCACAGGCAATGTTAATGTTAATCTGGTCAAATTCATCGGAAAATGAAACGGGTTACAGTTGGTAGTTGCATTGAGTCCAACTTGAGTAGGAATTGAAATATTTATAAATGAACCTCAAGTTAGGTTCTCAGCTTTCCTTTGGTACGAAATTACATCTTCGTGCCGATATAGTATTTAATAATGATTGAAAGTTGGACATAAATCGCCTTATGGAACAAACAGTTTCCAGCTCGTCTCATGTCACTCGTCACGTTAAAGGTAATTTAAAGCCGATCGGCCCAGATCCGCCCTGCGGCAAACAACGTAACATTCAGATCGGGCCGAATCGGCCCTCTGGCAATCCAATGGTTAAAGCATGCTTCAGTTTTAAAAATGATATTGCAATTTACTGTCAAATCTTAAAAAATAGGTATTGAACGAAATTGAGAACGTATAAATATGAACAATATTATAGACAGATCCGGACGAGCCGTTTTTTAATAAGTGAGTTTTTGCATATATAATAATACATCTGAAAATGTGAATAAGTGAGGATCAACATAGACACGACTAAGCGTACTTACCGAGAATGCTGTAAAAACCTTGACTTTCTGGTAATTCCTGTCTTGCAGTATCTATAGAATGAAAATGAAACGGGTTACAGTTGGTAGTTGCATTGAGTCCAACTTGAGTAGGAATTGAAATATTTATAAATGAACCTCAAGTTAGGTTCTCAGCTTTCCTACGGTACGAAATAACATCTTCGTGCCGATATAGTATTTAATAATGATTGAAAGTTGGACATGAATCGCCTTATGAACAAACAGTTTCCAGCTCGTCTCATGTCACTCGTCACGCCAAAAGTAATTTAAAGCCGATCGGCCCAGATCCGCCCTGCGGCAAACAACGTAACATCCAGATCGGGCCGAATCGGCTCTCCGGCAATCCAATGGTTCAAGCATGCTTCAGTTTTAAAAATGATATTTCAATTTACTGTCAAAAATCTTAAATAAATAGGTATTGAACGGAATTGAGAACGTATAATTATGTACATTATTATAGACAGATCCGGTCGAGCCTTTTATTTAATAAGTGTGTGTTTGCATATATAATAATACATCTGAAAATGTGAATAAGTGAGGATTAACATAGATACGGCTACCTTGACTTCGTGTTAATTCTTTTCTTGCGGTGTCTATCGGTCGTCGCCTGTATCTATCCTCCTGCTGTAGCAGGCTAGGACAGGTATCAGCTATGTCCTGTATTACCTGTGACCACGGACAATGATATAAAGCCATCATATGTAACACATTGTCCCCGTCGTCGTTCACCATATTCAGTTCCTGGACAGTCATCTTCTTGGCAAGGAATGCCGCGATATCTTCTTTTCCTGATACCACGGCTTGTATCAGAGGTGTATATCCGTTACTATCTGTTGCCCCGAGGTCCGCCCCAGAACTGACCAGCTCCTTCACTTCATGGAGATCTCCCGACTTGACCTCCCAGTGTATACGTTTACATTTAAACATGGTCCGTGATATCTGTAACACAAAACAGGGAATAGTGGACACTAAACCTTCAACCCGGCGACTAGTTCGGCATATAAAATACAGCACACATTGTTATATATGTAGATAAATTGGTATATGAGATAAACAACTTTGTAACGAAAACATATTTCAGAAAAGAGCTGTATGCACATTCGTAATTGGACGAAGTGTATGCTTGCTATTTATTGTCATTGATCTATTGAATTTATTATTGTATTTTTATTGCAACTGATCACTTTTGATATAAGGAATTTTCTTGATAACAACACATATGACTAACGAAGTCTAGAATATTGAAAACATGACATTTTAGTTCAACATTTTGACAACCGATTCGAAAATGTCTACTCTTACATAGCAAAAAAAATATAGCAAAGTTAAGTCCGACATGTATTCGTTATTCCTTTTAACGAATACCTTAACTTTACATAACTTTTAATTTCGGGGCGGGTATGCAGGTAAATTGAAATTGATCCTGGTGCCAAACTCTTGAAAGATTCCACGCACAGAAGATGTCACAGATCCTTTACACCTAGTTTATGTAAGATTGAAAAAGGTATTTACCCAGGCAAGGTTCATTAACATAGAATTGAACGAACTCTCATTTTTTCAGGTATCGAGTATAGGGGGTCTAAAACCCGTTTCTCGCGTGCAAGGGGTGCCACAGATATCATTCACACCCTTTCGCTGCCACAGTGAAATACTTGATTTTCTGTCAGGCCAAGATTTCATCGTGACTTTCAAAAGTTTTCTGAAGAAACGTACTGGAAAAATACCTTCATATTCAAAAGATCATATCAAATTATTCCTGTGACCTAGAACCACATGTTAAACCTCCACGGCAAGCTGAAATCATTAGATATTACTTCATATGGTAAAATGTAAACCATTGTTCAGTGCGCATGTTGTTATACCAGCAGGAATAATGGGATATTGTAGAAACTCTTTTTTTTACTTTTAATGTATGACATCGAAGTAGAATATGTATACGATCTATTGTACACAATGACAAAAAAAGTTTGATTTCGAAGATACGTTTTCAGAAGAGTTGTAATATTGTTGACGGTACTCGTTTTGAGTTAAACGTTACTTATTTCGTACTGGTATTCGTCTTCCAATCACAGGCAGATACTGCCAATACAGCTACTCATTATAATATATACACAGTGGTGGAGTACTAGGTGGTAGCACATTGTCAGACGCTTGGCCATCGCGGCCCCTATCCATCAAAGACAGAGAGAAATGAAATTCCGCTAGTGGCACCTGTGCATCGTTAAAATGCCCCAACATGATGCTGAATCAGTTGAATGACAATTTCAATAAATATTGACTAACATCTTATCAAGAATTTGTGAGATAAACAAACAGGTGAGACATTACTGTTAGTAATCAATGGTTTGATTCAGTTAACATTACAAATAAAACAAAAGAAAGAACCCAATATTTTAGTCGATATTGTATCGACTATTTGATACACTACAATGTTTTTATTGACGTCTTTAATTCGAGGTTCTTATATACCGCTTAATCAAAACCTAGTTCGAAGGTCTTCTCAAAGCGGGTCACAAAGTATTATCCGTGGTTATGGGGCCTCTGGAACCAGCCAATATCTGTCCCGACTCTATGTGGAACATACAGCCGGTGTTGCCATTTCAGCGCTCGCAGATAGTATTCTGCAATTCTAGTACTTCCCAACCACGTATTCATTTACAGCTGAGTATTCAGGAACAAACGGAGTAAAGTATCTCACGAGCTCGACATTCTACCACCAGACTACTGTACCTCTTTGAGTTCATTAAATCATTACCTTTTCTTGCCGAGTATTACTTATCGCCGTGGTACGACGGTATATATTGTTAAACTAGGTCGCAACTTAGTAAACGTTTTGAAGCAACTTAGAGAATCACAGCTCCTTTTAAACTGGGGTATTTTTAAAAGAACTCTGCGTACGTTAGCGCAGTGCACGTACGTGTCATAGCGAAAAAGTGGCGTAGCGTACACCTCTTGATTATATTCCTGTAAATGTCATTATGTTATCATCGAGATAACTAATGAATCGTGAACACAGGAAATTTAAACTTTATTTATTCACAAAAAAAAACCAAATTAAACAGGTTTTTTCCACCTAAAGTATTCACTCTTGTTTGCACGTTGGCACGGGCGAAGAGCGAGTGCGCTGTTCACAACGTCACCCGACCACATTTTCCCGAAACTTATATTGCAAATTACCGAGTGTGATTTGGACATTAAGGTAAAATAAAAACATATTTGCGTTTATTTTTAATTTGGGATCTAAAGCTTCTAATTTCTTATCGAACTACCTAATCAATTCGACCCACTTTGGAAGTAAATCCGAATTAGAATGCGTTATTTTGATATTCTCATTGTAATTGACAGCAGAATTGTCTATAAGTTAAGCCCTTCGTGATATCTCCCATCCCTTTACTGTTTTGTAGATTTAGTTCGACGATAACCGCGTGTCCATTTCGACCATATGGTGAGGTCGAACGCAAAGACATGCTGAAGGGGGGAGGGGGAGGGGGTGTATTTTAAGGTCGTCGACAATCAGCTGGTGTAAAATTTGTATGAAGCTAAACAACTACGAATCAACGATTTGATATTACTAAGAAACGAATTGGAATCTTCTGGATCTAATTTGCCGGATAATTAGTTTCGATGAACTTATTTTAAGGATTAATACCTTTGTGATTAAACCTGACCAATAGTCGGTACACTCGACCTTCCCCAACAACACAGGTTTTAAAAAATCTAATTTTTGCCACACATTTGATTTAGTGAAGTAAACAAACAACTTTCAAAAGGTCACCAGGATAAATTTCATTTGAATACTACTGAGATGGTTCAAATATAAAACAAATATATGTGCTGTATGATGCAAAAGAGTCTGTTTCACGATCCAGTGTAGGAAGAGAAATGGGAATTCTTATTTAGAGGGAGTCAAAGCAATGAGATTAATAATAAAAAAAAAATGAGTACGAAGACATAAATCAGAACAGGAGGGATTTTTTACTATGAATAGGTGGCTTCAAATAAAAACAGGTTTATGTTTTCCTTTTACAAGCAAACAATATACAGTACTTCAATTGTATTTGTATCTGCTACAATACCGAAACCGTTCTTTTAATATTTGTTCCTCGTGACTGAACATATAATTTATTTATGTTTAAGTGTGAGTAGCATTTCCTCCGTAACCGTATATGTGATACATGTTATAGAACATTTAATCTTTGTAGAAATAGAAAAAATAGTGGAAGTGATGATAATAATGAATAGTTAGTTATCTTCAATAATTTTAAAGTTGAAAGTGAATATTTAGAATGGACACAAAGTAAACAGTAATTACAATATCCCTGAAAGTCAAACATTTTGCCTGGGCATACTCATAGCATGATTATAATTTGTCTTCATGAGACAATTAAATGACTAGTGCACATCTAACACAGATGTAAACCTACCTCCTCAGATATTGATGAACCTCCCGTCGCCATTGCTAAACCTGGGATCGCTGCGGCTTAGTCTCCTGAAAGATGAAAAATACAATGTTTTTAAGTATGAGTATTTTGCTTACTACATGGCAACACACATTGACTTTGCCGTGATCACTAAAGAAAATTGAAGTAGAATGTTACATAGATGCAGTTAGCGCTTATATAGAGAATATATCCTGTTGGGTTTTGTTCTCTCTCAGAAACCCAAAACACCGCGGGAGATAAGGCAGTTACATTATTAAAGCAGTGATGCCTACCGTAGGTAGGTAAGTATAAACTCTGCTAAATTGACTTGGTTTCTTAAAAGAACAGGGAGTTAATCACATATAACAATAACGGATTAAGGATCAAATTAAGAACAAAATTGATCGTTGCATTTTGTGACTGTATGTGAATAAACAAAATAAAAAGGCAAATATTGATCACTATACTGATTGCAAAAGCGAAAAAATTAGATGCGGAATCTGTGCATATCTGAAACTATTATAACAAATGGTGACATCATTTCAAAAGCGACATTTTATTTTTAGTTTAAAATGTCCAACTTTGCAATCGGTGCTATATGCATCTAAATTAATCAATAACAGAACAATAACAATTGCCTGGAGATTGACACAAATCTTGAATTTTACCTGCCATCTGTCGCTCGTTTTGTGTTTTGTATGTGTTACAGTAAATATGTATAATCAGAAAATGTATGCGTTAACAGGTAAGAATTGTAAATTTGCTACAGACAATCAAATTCTAACAGGACTTTAAAACATAATAACTGATTATACGTCTTTGGATACCAGAAAGGGATATTTTAACAAGACTTAATTGATCGCACCTTTGGTTTCTCAATTCATGATATTATCATTGTATGTATTTGGAAAGATGAACGCAACACACACACAGCTGACTGCAAAGAAAGGGAATAGATAGAGAATGCCAAAATAAGTTATACTGCACACTACATTATACTGGTTTGTCCTTCTAGGAATCATCGGTGATTCTGATTAGAGCTAAGAATTTGGAAATCGAAATTGTTTATAGTACTGTTAAAACAGAGGGACATGTGCGTAAGACTCCTAGATTAATGAATTCAAATCTTAGAGGAGTACCGATTAATTTAAATTCAAATAATATGTAATGTGTGTATATTATGAAAGTGACACTACCCAAACGAGATGTGAGTGGCCACCAAGGTCCCAGAAAACCTCGGGGACTAAATATACACCAGCAGAGTCAACCATATTGACAGATATATCAAACGTGTTTATCCCCATACGTAAAAAGAAAAGCATGTGAGTATGCTTAGTATATATGGATTAGGGTTATACATTTTAAGTTATTATTTGTACTGTTCACTTTTACGATGATTAATCTAGAGACAAATTTACACAAATGTGCACGGTTATCTCTAGTTCGCGATGTCTTAATGAAATATGTGTCTTCTTTACAACGTCAGCATTAACAAAGGTTCTAAATACATAAGCAGACAATATATTGAATTATATTTCCAAATAAGAGGTTTATACATATACACAAGCTACGTTTCAGTGGGTCTTGTGATAGGAATATATGCATGCAACACTGAATCGTGATAACTCATTTAACTCTGACAATACAACGGACGTAACATTAACAAAGACGGTGTTCTGTACGTGAGTGTATACAAATATTTCAGCATGATACCAAACACAAGCTTTCCTGTTTACGACACGGACCTATCATTAGTGATTATATACGCGTCCGTGAATTGGGTTGGTCTGCATGTGTGAAATTATGCTAGCTGTACATAGGCCATATCCGGACCAACCTATTTCTGCACGTACCAGCCCCTAACCCCGTGTTGATAGGGATGTCTCGGAAAGAAACACACATTCTAGCTAATAAGGCATTACACGTATGCACACTAATAGTTTTCCAGCATTCACCGAAATATAACAGTCGAACTGTTTCTAAGGCATTTAAAGTAGCTGCTGGCATTCTAATTTGTAATCACAATGAATTACCGACCAGATTTCTTCTCAACAATACCGTGTGCTTTTGCTAGAGACGCGTTGATCCTACAAGGAACAAGACATACCGTAAAGATAAGCTATCATTTAATATCAGGTCACTGGTAGGTTATACCTGATATAGGGTGTTATGTACAGGCAGTGAAATTAAACTATGGAGAGGGTATACATGTAAGAAGATGTTGCGATAGATAACGAAATTAAACTCTGGGTAGGGGAAAGTTATTAATATACGAGAGAACAAACCAGTGACGTAAAATACGAACACATATTGAGTACGATGAGGTCACCGGATGCTTAGAGTTAAACAGTTCTCTGATGGAGAAGGTACAATTGACAGTTTTAATGATACACACACACCGCAATAAATGTGAATTTATATTCATCGTTTTAATAACATTTTGTGTTAAGAGAAAATATTAAAACAAACTTAAAGCAGAAATTAGGTTTTCGGTTTCTTGAGATTTAAGATTCATATCGAACGTATTAACAAATATAAATATTAAGTAAAAAATACAATTTTCTTATTGACAGATGTTGTAACGAGTTAAGAGGTCGTTTGGAATCGTTTACGCGTAATAATCGGATTAAAAATGAAAACATTATACAAAACATCGGGAAAATATTACAACAAACTTAAAGCAGCAATTAGGTTTTCGGTATCTTGTGGCGTTTTCTCGCGAGAGTGAAGGGCATTGATCTATGTCTTTGCTAGCAGTAAATAATTAAATCAGAATACAATTAGTCACATTAGTATCAGGAAATTAGTTTCCGAGAATCTGGAACCCATGTGACAGAGGGAACGTAATACGAAAGAAGATGTAGGTATTATTAACGCATTGTGAACAGGTGACATAATTATACATGTTGATCGTGTAAATAACCCATATAGAGTACCGTGGTGTGATCCAATGCAGGAACCATGGAATACAGAGTAGATTACCTATGTAGAGTACCGCGGTGTGATACAGGGAACGAGATGGTTACATTAAACTCGGGGTTTAGTACACAGGAAAGATGGTAAATGACAATATATGTGCGTGCGCTTGCCGGGTGTGAGAGTATAACAGACTGGAGTAACAAAAATGCCCTGCAGTGCAGTTTTATCTTTTAATAATATTACCGGAATATATCATATATTCATATATAACTGGTATTAAACAGGGTTAACAGTTCTATTATAGGTATCAGAAAAAAGGATGATCAAGATACTTACAATACATTTTCATGTCTCATTATTGTACTTTTTTCAAATTTGATATATAATTGTAATTAGTTAACAATGTAAATAATCATGATTAAATATATTTACCGCCATTAACTTGTGGTTATTAGAACTGAATGGTTTTAATTGGGTACAGACAGGATATGCCGTTTTGTTATTGCTAATAATGGTCTGACTTAATAGTTAAATGACTTGTGATTATTAGAACTGAATGTTTTGTATTGGGTACAGACAGGATATGGCCGTTTTTTGATTGCTAATAATGGTCGGACTTAATAGATACGTGATCAGTCCCTTATGAAATGACTTCAAAATAAAAAAGAGTAGATTGCAAAGAAACCAAATAAAATCCCCATATCATAATATTTTTTAATATTGTATTACATGTAAAAGCGCATACCTGAATAATAGACAGTGACCGTGTAGACACATTTCTTTCACACTCAGGGCTCCGTAATGTCTATATATACATATAGCTGTATTCTATATGTTGACTAAGTAAAACTTGTAGTCAATGGTGCCATTTAAGAACCGATAGTTAAGGTCTGCATACTGACCTATGTTTTCACTACAATCATAACACCGCATTGTTTTTCACCAAAAATAGCTATAGGGATCTCCAACATTTAACTTAAAAACAACGGTGTAAACACTGCCACTATGGCTATACGACAGACATTAAAATACTCTAGTGAATGGTGCATGCATATGCTATCATGTTTGAATCGACTTTTAAAGCCAGTTTTCAATAGTTCTTAAATTAAAAACGCTCTTCTATTCAATGCGATACACATCTAATATAAACACATAATACAATACGGAATCCTGACAGCTTAATCATCCCTTACAAACATATATAGCACACGTATTATTAACAGGAAAGGGTCTTACTTAATCATAATTCGCTATAATCATAATACGGTATCGCTATTCTCAAACGTAGCCGTAGGAATCTCCTCCAATATGTCATCACATATAAAGGTGTAAACAGTGTCGCTAAGGCAATAAGTCAGACATTTTAATGCACTAGTATAAACAAGCAATGATGCATTCACATGACAAAACATTTAAATTGACTTTTTTTAAGACCAGTTAAGCGATAATACAGAAATGAACATATAATCGTAGGTACAGCGAAAAGGAAAGTTATACGCGGGAGTTATCTATAGAAAATTAGGTTGTAAGCTACAGAAAACTTCGTTTTTACATGTTGTATATAGAAATTGAATTTTCTAGTATGGCTTTTATCAAATGACGAGGACAGATTTTGAAAAAAGGCGTGGATTAAGAGGGCTTTTACGATCACCACCCACCGCTATTCCTTTGATCCCATTACATTGTTAAACTAGCCTTTTTGAGGTAAAATAATCATATCTGTTTTTACTAAAATATGTTTCATGAACAATACAAGAAATCCTAATTTAAATAAAGATCGATCTTGCTCCTAGGCGATTTAAACGTTCGATATGCTGTAAATATGTATACATATATATTTTTTTCCAAGTTTTAAACGAATCAAGCTGAACATATTGTGTCTAAATGTAATTCGCCCAGATGTGGAACATGTAAAATAATTATTGAAGGTTCTACTTTTGTTTTCAAAAAATGGATTTAAATTCACTGTACGTTCTAGTATGAATTGTAAGTCGAAGAATGTTATATATGCTATAGAGTGTGTTAAATGATTGGAATGTTATATTGGCCAAACTTGTCTACCTCAAAAAGCTATCCCGACTATTGAAGGGGATTACAAGGAGGGTTGATGGTGGTTGTCGGAAGCCCCGTTTTAATCAGCGCCACTCTT